TTCACAACAGTGGCCGGCGTTATGGGGGTTAGAGAGTTTTTTGGCAGTGGCGAGCTATTATCTTTGAAGAAGCAGATAAGGGAGACCACTGGGTATGTATGGGTTCCGAGGTAGCAGGTGCTTCAACTGTTGTTTTTGTCGTCGAGCTCAGTTCAGCCGTGGGCGTCCTCTGCCGTGGGGTGACCACTTGTGTCGGGCAATTTGGTCGTTTGCTGGGTTTCCGGACCGGGCTAGCTGGTGTGATTCGTGAACTTAAGTCTGCTATTTTTGCCTCAAGTGTGGCGATTTTTGAATTCGCTCTTTCTTCGGCTCCTGACAATAGCTTCTCGTACTTGTGTGTGATACAAGTGATGCATTTTACAATCAGGATTTCCGCACATTCTGTACAGAACCATATACGTTCTGGCTGAGTTAATCCATGAGTTTCTGCTGATCGAAAGTGGATACTTCTGATAAATTAACATTGATGAACCCGACAATCAAAACCATTCTACAGCATAGAAATTGTTTCATTTCTATCAAGCTTGAAATTTGTAAAACTTACGGGAACCTTGGAAATTTTTGGGATGTGACCGTAGGTAGTTTATATCAGAAAACAACTAAAATAGTGACGATTACACAGCCAATCTGGCTCTTCAATCAGCGGATCAATAGATAACTGAGCAGTTCTTCTGTTACATCACTCCTGGCAATCAAATCTCAGATGAACAGTTGGCATGTCAACCTAAGACACCTTTGTTGTTCCAGTGGCGTTTGACTGTTCATGGACGTCGAATGTAGTTCTGCAACGATACAGGCAATATTTTTTGCTTTTCAATGCAGATTCTTCGAGAAGCAGTTCGAACGATTTATCCGTCCTACTTTTTCTTCATCAGTGAGCACACTATCAACTCGCACACTCGTATTTCTTCAACACACAGACGCGCATAAAGATCTCAGTAATGGATTGGTGAAATACCGCTTTACATCATGCGATGTGAATAGCAACGATACAACGCGCGAACTATTTACTTTTTTATTGCACAACAGTATGATGTACCGTAAAATTGGTAAACCCTATAGCTTACAAAAACCTTTGTATGGTAGGAAGTGGGTGTTTGGGGTTGGGGCCGATTACCCCTCCTTTGCACCTCACAAAATGCCCTCATACGGCCAAGCATTTTAAACAGTTTCTGTTGTGGAAACCTTACTTACTGCCTTCTCGTGACGGAGGTGTTTTCCACCAAAGTGAGGGGACGAAAAGCCACATCCGGGTTGGTGGGCCACTGGTAGTTCACCAAAGGGGAGTTAGCCAAAAACCCTGATTTCAAACCAACCAAGAGGAGACATCCGAACCACACCTTCCTGGTTGTGGTCCCCAGTTCCATTGGACACCTTGGAAATTTCAAAAGATGCATAGTTCGATCAAATACACATCGGTCCCCAATGGATTGCCGTTTTCACATACCGCCTTGCGGGTCAGGCTTTTGCTAGTCGAAGGGTCCGGTTGCGAATTCCTGAAGCAACTTCACCTGCCTTAGCCTGGGCAACCTGGTAGTATCGCGCCCACAAGCAAATCATGGAACCTTTTACTCTTTTATGAAGATCCTTGTACTGGGTTATTTGGCACAGTCTGCAATCAGACGTGTGTGAAGCAAAAAAACATAGTTACAAGGGCCTATTGCAATCTTAGTCCTGTTATTTGAAGTGATGAATCACATTAGAACAAATGTGGTATTCAGCCGGACGACCACGAAGCTGTCCACTGCTAAAATTAAGAGACGGCAACAGACTTCGCACCGCGGAACTAAAGCGCACCAGCGACTAGTCGTTCAAGCCGTTATTACGCAACTTGAATCCCAGGATTTTGGCGTTTAGCGAAGCGATGCTAATCAAGTTACGTAACCCAATATTATGTGCACAAAAGTTCCTTACACAATCAGTCAGACTGCAATGGACGTGATTTCCCACCCCACCTTCTACCCCGCTTCCCTGACTATTGTCCGTTTTACCACTATAGTTATCAAAACTTGCTTGTATAAATACCAGATTGTTTTACGTTGTAGCGACTGGAGATTAAAAAAAATGTTAACATCTCGCAGTATTTGTCTTCTCTCGGTTCTAACGAATTGGATAAAGGGGACCCAATGTTTCAAGATTAGTTTTCCCTCAAAATTTGAATCCATATGTGAGGAAAGGTATTTAATGAACAAATACGAAAAAAACCCAATGGAATGAAACGGCGAGTGAAGACAAACTGCTTCAAATGTGACAATATCCCAAAACACCGAAGGTCATTAGTGGATCCTTCTAATCCTCACGGTTGAGAACGGCTGCCAACACAAAGTTGAACAAGAAATGGGGCAATGTGTATCCCTTTCAAGCCTGAATCTCACCCGCACATTGCTCATCTGTGGTGGATAGCCGACAGAGAGCGATTCTCGTTATCTGTTTGGTGTCCTACAAAAAACCAGTGTGGAAATTTAGCATCTGCTGCAATCCACCCAACGATCTTCACATAACTGCATCGAACGATCAACGTCCGTTTAGTGGGTTTGTTGTAGATATAACAATCCAGGCGCCCAACTCCTCCAGGCAGTCACAACATCCCCTGATTCAAATGGTCGACCAGTTCGTATTTTAGCTTAACGAAGTTGTCATCTATGCGAGCGAAAATAGGAGACTGCGATAATCCAGTTGACCAGCAAAGAACGAACAATATAGTCCATAGTCATATAGTCTATAGAAGTGAACGCGGAAAGTAGGGACATGAACGCGGTTTGATGAAAGCACCGTTTCTTTGAATTGGAATTGCTCTTGCTTATTCTCGCGTGGGTTCCGGAGCTGCGTAGTGATGATCGTGTATGAATCTCACTTCTAGGGAGTTCCGTTTATTTTGGTGAAATAATTGTGAGACACAGCGTGATACACGATTATTCCGTCATTTCTACTGATTCACTGCTTCGGTTACGAACTATAAATGTCTGAAATCAAACGTTTCAGTTCCAGCAATACGCTTCGCGTTATGCGCAAAATAGTGAACGAATTATTTCAAAAATAAATGGTTTCCGTTCTCATGTGAAAATCTGTGATCTCACACGGAATCTCACACTGACTACCGTTCGGGATAGTCTCGGACACAAAGATATGCACCACAGAGCAACGACGAGCACACACGATGCGATAAAGTGACCGGAGAACCGGCATTGGAACCTTTTTCAGAAACGTCCACGGAAGTTTTTTTCAAGGTGAGTTTCGGATTCTTTTAGTCGGTCCGATTTTCGTGATTAGTCCTCAGTCATAAGGTTACGTGTGATTGTCGCTTGTAAGGCAATACTTTTATTACGGATAAAAGATACGGTGCCGGCGAGTGCTACCTCATTTTCACATAACGAACCCTCTCCACCTAATACGTAAGGTTGAGCTAGTAGAGGTCAAGCCGACTATAATTGGGAGCACCACTCAAAATCGCTTTGTTTTAGACACAGTGACCACAGCTACTAGTCGGAAAGCTGAGTACAGCGACTTTTATGCTGATTCAGTCATTTCAATGCAATCAGAAATTCACGTTCGAAGATAACTTAATAGCCACCGCGGAAGCAATCGCCATTGGACTGAACAACTCCTTTTTATCTTAAGCCCAGGTACAATTTATCAAAGCGTCCGAGTTGTCTCGGACAAACATCAATAACTACACCACAAAAGTAGGACTTTGACCAACAACAATAACAACATGCGGACATTCGGTTACCGGTTACGGGATGCTTATTTGTTGATGTGAACACGTATTACATTCCATCCTCTTCCTACCTGTTTATGTTCCTCATTCAAGCATTTGATTTCGCTCTGGTATAGATAATTGTGCTATTTTTAACTAGTTAAAGAGACACCAAATACAACTCACTGGCCATTCTGCCTTCTGAATGGGCATGTCTATAATATCACATCCAGATACCTAGCAACCTATAGGGGTTGGAGAGATTGAAATTACACTGACATTCAACATGGAAGAGAAATATCACAGGAATAGTAATCGAAGCCGATGTGTTAATTAATATCATTGCTTTACTACATACAATCGTGGCATACTCCAAGTAATTTTTTATTCAGTTCAAAAACATGGATGGCATCATTTCGGGGTTGAAAACAGTTTGAGTGATGCATTCGACTGTTTGCAGTAACCAGCAGAATTTCAACGGTAATGGTTCCGCGAATAGGACTGACAATCGTCCATTTTTCTTCTTTAAACAAATTTCGTTTTCGTCGCACGACTCGCACTCGACTCAAATGCACTATGCCTTGGGAAGTCCAGGTGGCGGTACAAAAGGCAAACACGGTCCTGATCCGGATAAAACAAAAACCCCGACTTGAAAGGAAGCGAATAAATGATGCGCCAGTTTTTGGTTGCACAATGTGGAAAAAAAGAGTAGTACATATAAAATGATGAACAGAGTTGTGGTTCAAATGGGGCGGCTAGGAGGCCTTGCACTTAGAATAGAGAGAACGACTGCTGTTCGATGGCTAGCCATGTTCGTGAAGTGAGACAGTGGACGGGCGGGAAGAAATAGCGCAAATTCGAGCGATCAGCCGAATGAGAGAACGCACAAAACGCACAAAACACGGGAACGGTCAACCAAACTGGCGACACCCGAGGCCGTCAGAAAATGCAGGAAGGTTATCATTTACGTGTCAAACTGTCGACGATCACTAACTAGATAAAATCGGCAGGTAACGCCATCGTGAATCAGGTTTCCTGCGACGTAACCTCGGTAGCGGGTGTGGATGTCCAGGATTCTTGTGGTGCCTTGCCCTTCGGATCGGTCGTTTGGCCAGAACCGGTACTTGTGGTTTGACCACGCTCGCGTGGATCCTTGATTTCCAAAGGTTTCAATGGGCGACGGCCAAGTAAAGGGCGTCGTTCACGACTTGTGGGTGATGATGATGAAACGTAGGATTGCGCACCACCCCCTGGAACGGAAGAGATAAAAATTCAGCTGATTGGGTATAAGGATGAAAAAATGTG